ATCCATATATATCTCTTATTATGGTTTATACAAGTATATTAATAAGTAGTGTAATTGCAATAGAAGGTGTATTTTATACATGTTTTAATTTTGATCAATTTAGTCAACTTAAACGACCTTTAATTATTTCATTTCTTTCTCTTCTTATTGTCTCGATATCAAATCTTGATAAAATATTTGGACGAAGTTTATTAATTGATCAATCTGGTAATTTTTATTGTACATATAAAAAATATTCATTTAAATATTGGTCAATAATTTTATATTATATTTATATAATTATTCCATGTTTAATTCATATGATATGTATTATATGTGTTCTTTTATTATTAATAAAAGAAAATTGTTTTCAAAAAATTACTACCCATAAAAGTTGGCTTATTCCATCATTATTTATTATTTTTTGTATGTTTTTAAATGGTTTATTTCTTAATTTATTTAATTTTTGTTTAACATATCCATCAAATAATATAAATCGTTTACATATTATATTTATTTTTCTTCTTTATACTCCACAAGTATTTACATACATAATTTATGTTATACCAAATGATTTTTATATTAAAGAATTTTTTCAAATGTGGTTTTATAGAAAACTATGTTGTTGTTTTTATAATAGACAACGACATTTACAAAAATTTGACGTTATACATATGTTATGGACAAGACGAACTTCATTAGAAAATAATACAACAATATCAGGCCTTGATAATCCGTATGTTGACAGTGAATTTTATAATAGAATTCAGATGTAATTTTAATTTGTTGTTGTATTTTGAAGTTAAAATAAAATAAAATAAAAGACTATGAAATATCATTAGTAATTTGTAGATGCTACAAAAAAGAAACAAACTCATGTTGATAGATAGATGATTTTAGAGTAGAAAATTTTCTTGATATTGTTGAATTGATTGTTATCGAAAAAGAAAAGTTAAGACATTCACAAATGCTTTTTTGAAGAAATTTGATATTGATACTAAATTATGCAAACGTTCTTTTTTGGTTTAATCTATCAATCAACTGCTTCCTAAACAATGAACTAGTGTTATGTAGTAAGAACGATAAAATTTCGTTGATATAAAAATTTTTTTCGACTGAAGATATGTTTCGAAATCTAGAGAAGGTTGTAGCTGAAATATTTTTTTTGAATACTGTAATCGCTAATTGTGAGTTGTGTTTGTATTCAAGTTGATACCAAGAATAGTTTTGATTTATATATATTACACAAGTCATTTATAAGCTTTTTATAAAATTAAGATAGTTTCTTTTTTTATCAATATACTCATTACTAAATTGTCCTAGGAAAACAAATCATTTGATAATAATGTGATGTCATCTTGTTTATTTAATTATTTTTTTATATAAAATTCATGATTTTATAAAATCTAATAGATCATTTAGTTGTTTACATTTTGAATTATCTATTCGATTATTTTGTAAAAATTCTTGAATTTCTATACACACACACATGAGTAAAAAAATAACTCATTCAAATCAGTAGAAATATTTCTTTTCTGCATCTATTACACAAAAGAATAAAACCATCTTATATTTATCGATGAAAAACCACTTGAAAGTTTTTCTAACCTAGAGTATACTTTGTAATTTCGTTAGATTCGATAGTTATCGCTTCCAAATATATCATAAAAAGCTTTCAATTGATCTACAACGATTAATTTCATATTAAACAGCACAGATAAGAAACAGATCCTGGGGTATGACATTACTATACGATAACTAAGGAATCTATTCATTCGCTTGATACATTACTTTTATCAATCTATCGCCTTATATATACGTATAATAAAGAAGTTCTAAAAATTTGTATTATACAATCGAAAAAAACAATTCCTAAAAAAAAATTTATCTTGAATAATCTAAGTGAAATATTAAATCTAAAAATACATTTCATAAATTATTTGGCTATGTGATTCATTGAGTACATTCGTTTATTATTCATCTAATATTACGAGATATTTACTTAACATAAAAAGAAAATATAGTATAATCCATTACGAATAAAAATATAGATCATCATTGTAGTAAAAATAGTAGCAAAGTCCGTCATTTTTCATATACAAATTTTCTAAAAACCATGAAATAAATGAATAATATTCTGATGCTTGATTTTCTTCATTGATTTTCTTGCTGAGATAAAATGATTATAAAAAAAAAAAAGCAGACACTGTATCATCTTATATATATATATGCTTGAAAGAAATAATTCTTATCATATAAGAGAAAAAAAATTAGACCATTTTAAAGATTGGTCATCTAATAATATGAGAACTATTCTATTCGATCACACTGAACAGAAATTTAGGCTCTGACAGGGGAAAAAAACCGGAAAATGTTTCTTTTTTTTTGTTTATGTATTAGATTTGTTTGGTTAAATTTTTTCGTTCATTGGTATTATTTCTTCATTATTTAATTTTTTTTCTTGTTTAGCATTATTGCTCATAGCTTGAAATGTCGCCCATTTTCTCGGTATAGCCGAACCATATATAAGAAAGACAAGACCACCAATGAAATAACAAATACCAAACATAATATATAATTTTCTCCATTGTTCTAAAACTGGTTTTTTAACAACTAATCCTGCAACTATATTTCCAATTAAACCAGCTAATGATGCAAATGTATTAGCAAGACCAAATATAATACCGGAAAAAGCTGGAGCAATATCCGCAAAATTGACTACATAACCACTACCAAAAGCAAAACCTATTGATAAAAATATACATTCAAATAAATAAAGAAAAAAAGTATATATATATATATATATATATGTAAAATCTTTACCAGTACTAGCAAGATAGACCAGAATAGTAATAACACCTAACATTTGTTGTGATTGATCACAAAAATAAAAAGATATCATACATACAACAGGTATAAATGATGTTAAAGAATTAAAGATTTTTCTTGCAGTTGTTAATGTTATCTTATTTGCTCGAACGAGATGATCAGCTGTAAAACCTAAAAATAAATTTTTTTTTTTTTTTTTATTATTAAAAAGAAAAAGAAAAAGAAAATTTTTATTTTTTATTTCTATTACCTGACGATAAACTACCTAATAATGTTAAAAAATATCCTAAGCATAATATATAACCAGTATCTTGTGGTGAAATACGTAAAAGTTCATTTGAAATTTTAGCAAAATTTGTTAAAAAGAAAAATAAACCAAACAAATTTGTAATATGTGATATCATTAAAGCAATCACTGCTTTTGATTTTATAATTTTTTTCCATGGTAATGATGTTAATGACGTCAGACGTCTCGTTCCGGTATTACCTGTTAAACGACATATATAATCTCGTTCATGTTTACTAATTCCTTTATGAACATATGGTGAATTTGCTGTTAATATAACCCATAATACAAGCCATATAAAACCAAGAACACTTGTAATAACCAATAGATATATCCATCCGGCATAGAAATAACGACAAAGTATTCCACCAATAAGCATTGTTAAAGATGTTCCAAGATGTGTACCAGAAAATCCAATTGATGCAAGTGTACTTCGTTCTTGTGGAGCAGCCCATACTGACCAAAGAGCGATTGTTGCTGGAAAAAGTACACCATGTGCAAGACCAGTTATAAATCGAAGAACAAATGCCAAAGCAAAATGTGTATTGGACATCATATACATCAATGTTAATGCTAAAGTAGCTAATGAACTGGTTCCTAAAGAAACTGCATAAACCCATTTTGCACCTATACTTGTTGCAAACCATCCACCTTATTATAAAGTATAATATATTAATTATTATATGAAGAAAAAAAAATTTCTATTTACCTGGTACTTGTGTGAATATATAACCAGCCCAATATCCACCTAGAAGAAGTTGTTGTTGTAATTCGGTCCAATAAAATTGTTTTTCCTGAAAAATGCCTCCTTTTTCTATAGAAATATGAGTCAGCTCTGTTGTAGGTAAAGGAAAAGTATTTTCTGATATATCATCTGGTAATTCTATTGTTTCACGATGTGCTAAATTATGTTGTATTGGTTTTGTACGATTAACCATACATACAATAGCAATTGGTAGATTCACACGTTGACTATATTGGACAATAAAAGCAAAAAAGACCAATAATGCTAATGTAAAACGTGTGGATGGAACTAAAGGTGGTCGATCTCGACCATCAACATGAACTGTTATTTTTTCAGTACCCATCTTTAGATAATAAACTAGAATAATAAGAAAAGAACAATGAAAAAGAATTTTATCAAATGTTTAACACGTTATCTTGTTAAAATCATATACACGCACATTTTGTTGCTATCGAAGGTCATAAACATGGAAGAAGAGAAGTGACGTGATATTATGTTCCTTCGATTTTTTTTTTCTTCTCACTTGCATTGGTTGTAACGATCGAAATTGAGAAAAGAAGCAATTTTTCTTTATATGGACAGCGACACAATCTCGCTCTTTACCTTTCTTTGTTAAATATTTGATTCGTTCGAGAACAAATAAAAAAAAAAAAGGATGCAACCATTTGGAAGGATGCTCAAAAGAATATACGCAAATGATTCTACATCAATTACGATGAAATATACCCGGTCACCTTTTTCTATATATTCCTTTCTTTGCTTATAATTTACTTTGACAGAAAAAAAGAAGGCAAGGCTGTACTGACCTTTTTGTATTTAAATATGACTACCTTGAAATTAACATGTGTCGATTCACATATGAAATTTGAGTGTACACTATATTAGATAAATTTTTTACTTCATATAAGTCATTCTTAATCGATGATAAGAAATCAAAAAAAAAGAAAGAAAGAAAGAAGATTCATCAGAAGATTTTTCTTTCGTATTAAATTTAACATACTGTTCGTTTTTATTCCTTTATTGAGACGAATTAATTTCATCATATCATTACAAAGGATAACTTTTAATTGTATAAATCTTAATGAGATAATGTTTTTTTTTTTTTTTTGAATACATTTTTATTACTTATAATATATTGTTTCCTCTTTTGTTTTAGATGATTATTCATTGATTCTTTCATATCAATTAAAATCATTTATTTTAATGTAAGAACAACAAGATAAAAAAAATAATGAACATTACTATACTGAAATAAATCGTTTTACATATTTTGCTTAGATAATGAAAATATTCCTTAGTATTTATTATAAATTTTTGATAACGAAATTGTTTGCATGCCTATTTTGATTCGAACAAGTTTTAAATCCAACTAATGTACAACGAAAACAAAACATGTTCGACAAGTAAAATTTTTGAATAATGAACATGCATGCCTATTAGTAAACGTTATTTTGAATTTTATCAATAGTTAAACTATTAGTTTTATATCTCTGATTGATGAAAATTATATTACGTTGTCACTCTACTGTTCTAATGGAATATATGAGTAAAAAAAAAGGATCGCAAATCTTACTTAAGCCATGAGTAAGTTGATAAAATTAAGCAGTAATAACGGCTTAAAAACTTCCGTTTTTTTTAATACTCTCTTGATCCTGGAGGCGTCATTGTAAATTCAAATACTTGAGAAAAATCTAGAATAAACTACGCATTCACTATTCGATTTTCGCTCGATTGCAAGAAAATTTATTTGTTTTTTTCTGCTTGAATAATTTTCTGATTACATTGCTGTCGGTTGTTTTTTGGTCGATTACAAGCAATAGAGAGGAATATTAATTAGAATTCCCTGTTGTATTTAGACGTGAGAGAAATTGAAAATTCAGCAGAAGGTTTATAATTGTTTTTTTGCAGAAAGTCCTGTTATTTCACTTTTTATAAGACACAGAATAAGGAATAATAAAATCATCGATTGTCTGTGAGATTTTTGATTAAAAATGTCTTCATATCACTTTCTGAGAACATTTCCTATGGAATTGTGAAAAATCTTGCAGAAAATGTTTGGAAGGGAAAAGCTTCCGCCATTACCTCTCTCATTGAAAAATCTAGTCTTAACTATTCGTTTTTCTTAGTTTTTATTGATATAAAATATATAAAAATAAATCAACCAACTGATTCTTTACTATATTACCGTTCTATGTAATAAAAAGATTATTCTCATGAACAGAAATGAAGTGCATTATCATAATTAAACTATTTGAATGATGATGGTTGAATATTAGAAAAATCTTCTTCATTACTCATTATAATTCTTGAGAGTGTGCACGATCAAAAAAAAAAGTTTTATGAAAGCAAAATTTCAAAACGATTAATAAAGAGAAGAGTCATTTTATTTACGTGAAAAATAAAATAAAAACCATTCATTTAGTATATAATTTATAATTCGAGAAGAATTTATTCAACATATTTTAACGTTTTAAAAGTTTTTGAGTGTTACAAAAACACTCATAACATACTCTTTACGAATAAACTATTTTAATGCTAGAAAAAATTGTAACTCCGACTGGATGTCTTTCAAACTTTCCTCAAGGAGATTCACATATTCAAGTGTACTACTAGTTTTGATACTTAGGAGATAATATGATATTTATCTTAAAATTTTTATAATTTATCTATCTTTACATTCCAATTTGTTTATTATCAAGCAATTCACATATTTATTTAAGTATATTTTTTTTTATAATAATATGTTTCATGATAGTTATTTATTAATAATCTTAAATAAAAAAATTTATATATATTTTCTCAATTTCTAGAGATCAGTTTCATTTGGAATGATTACTTCAAAAAATCTCATTAAATCATCATTTTTATGAATTAAAATCAACAAACTTTAGTATTTACACATAATCTGATATTTGAGGAGATTATCCCAATGATTCGGTGATTATTTTGTATCAACAACGAACAGAAGCTGTCAAAGTGCTTCGAAACTATTAACTAGTATTTGACATAATTTAATATTTAGATTCATAAAATTTCATTTTGAATAAGAATAAAATAAGCTGAACTGTTTTCTTTTCTGGAATATCTTAGTATTTTTGAATTGATCGTATTATAGACGTCACTGCTTTATATCAATATTCAATTTGATTACAGTTTTAGAGAATAGAATACAATATTTGATATTTTTACAGATTAGCAACATCACGGCATCGATCTATAGAAGAACCCAGTATTTTTCTACGGTTATTCATTTGATAGGTTTTCGATTTTAACTGTCATTACTAATCATGTATTGCTAAATCAATCAAACGTAGACTACATATTCATTTATCATCCGAGAATGAAAAATATCCATACACTACTTCAACAATTATTATTACGAATAAATACGATTGTTTTTTTTTTTCGTTATTGTCATTTAATAACAAATCATGCACTCAATAAACACGAAGATATTCATAATTCATTTCCTACCTAACTTATTACTACTGCTGTCAATTTGTCATAGTCCGCATTGGTAGGAAGTGAATCAACTATATGTACCAAAGAAACATGAGTCACTTCGTGCTGAAGTTACAAAACAATCAAATTGCAGTTTTTTTTTATTTTACCGTTGTTCAATCACTTTTGCTTGTTCGTAGGATTAGTAGACAAAGTGTATGAATGATAGTTCAAATGTATCTCAATCATATGAACTTACGAACCGTTTTTTGAATGAACTCTTTAACATATTTTATTCTTTTTTCATTTCGAAATAATGATCATCTTATTAATATTTTAGAAGAAATGAATGGCTTCTCATAACTGAAATTTGAATTGAGAGTACAACCTTTTTATAGCAAAAACAAATAGTTTGAACAATCTAAATTTCATATTTATAAAAATTAAACTATTTTACACACTTGACGTTTTTTTCTTCTCTGAAATTTATTTTCATTATTAAAAAAGATAATAATCGATGAGCTGATAGTTTTACATTTATAGCTTAGATTTTGCATTGCGACTGCATGATATTTGTAGCTATATTGCAGAAGTACTTCAGCGAGAAAAGAATATCTCTTCTTACAAGTATGTCCGATAGATCGATATAAAATTATTTGATGCAAAATTAAATTTCTGCGATATACTTCAATATTGTTGAAAACAGTTTTCTTTTTCATATAATTGATCTGCCATGATGATAGTACAACGTTGAGGAATGAATTTCCCTTTTTTATAGGTTTGTGCAATAAATAATCCTTATCCCAGGCCGATCATTTCAATCATCTGAAATGGCACCTTAAACAGCCTAAAAATGGTAGAGAAACGATGTGATTATTGCCCTAAAGGATGAAAAGTGTTCGTTTAAATGCAGTGAATACAGAAAATATCCATTATGTTCTTTTGAAATTAAAATTGTTGTGCCTGATAACAATATGCATTGTGTAGCAATTATATCCAGAAATTTGCATGAGCATGAAGACAATGAACGTAATCCAACAACAAGGTTACCCTCACCAATACGTAAAACCATATCTAATCATGTTAAATGTGGATTATCACAATCTCAAACTAAAGCATCATTAATTACAAATTATCCACAACATTCAATTAATCAAGATAAATTACACAATTTAATAGTTTATGAACAACGAAAAGATAGACCAAAAATATTTTCAATTCATGATTTACAAAACTAGTGTAATGAACACAGAGAAGCTAAGGAACTCCACTCTACTTTCGTACCTTTTTATAATGCTGTTGATATAAATAATATATTTGTTTTCTTTACAACAAAACAGCTGTTCCAACAAATTCAATTAACAACATATTTACAAGTTGATGCAACTTACAAAGTCACCTGGAACAATTTACCTCTTCTTGTTTTTAGCTCAACCGATGCCAATCGTCATTTTAAGTCATTTGGTATGGCATTAATTTCAGAAGATGAAAATACCGAATGTTATGTTAAATTATTTAATTCAATAAAAACATTCGCTGTTCAACTTAATCTACAATGTTTAATAAATCAAGTAATGTCTGATAGTGCATCAGATATGTTCTAATATTTAACTACATAGTATTTAAGAACGACTTCTATTATTTAGCTATTACAAGTGCACAAGAAATGATATTTCCAAATAGTCGTCGACTTATGTGTTGGAGTCATATGATTAGAAAATGTCGAAAACATCGTAATTTAGTTGCAAAAAATGATTGGCAAATTATTGATAAAGATATTCATACACTTCAACTTGCTTTTACTGATGATCTATTTGACCATGGTGCTACATTATTATTACAAAAATTGAGTCTTATTCCAACAATGAAAAGATTCGTCGATTATTTTACTGAACAATGGGTTTCTAAAATACATTACTGGTAAGAAAAGAACTTGTTATAAATATAAGACAATTTTTTTTCTGTTGTTCAGGTACGAAGGTGCCGCATTTGCTAAACCGTCCACAAATAATGGACTTGAATCACTTAATGGAATTATAAAACAAAAATATACATTACGTAACAAACTTCATTTATCTACTTTTCTGCCTAAAGTAGAAACTATGTTATTCGATTGGTCGGAAGCAAGTATTATATCGCCATTTTCTACTTTAACTGATATAACACCTGATGTTGAATTAAGTGCTTATAAATGGTCATTAAATGTGAATCAATCTGAAATTTTAAATTGGTTTAATAATTATTATATTGTTCCTTCTTCAACTGCTGTTATGACAACGTCGATGTAGTTAGATATTTATAAATCAAGTCAATGGGCTTCATTCGATGATTATACAGCATGGAAGTCATCATGCTGGTTAGTATCACCACTTACATCCTGTACATGGAGTCTATGGTGTTTTTGATTTCAAACTGAATTTTGGAAAAAAAAACAACACCCCTTTTCGCGAAAATCGCGGATCTTGCGGGTCTTTACAATTATCATGATCATATCAATAGTGCTACTCCTATTTTTCCACCGTGTAGGTCTTGCAAACCCTTAGAATTCTAATGACCATGAGTATACTATATGCTCCTATTTTTATAGGATGCGGGTCTTGTGGGTCTTTAGAATTATATTCATGATATCTATAGTATATACCCCCTTTTTTATAGGGTGCGGGTGTTGCGGGTCTTTACAATTATGATGATGTTATGTATGCTATATACCCTATCTGGTCAAGAAAAGTGAGCTCCACACGTAAACTCCAAATTTGGAGCTCACGCTTGTTCTCAATCCTTCTCTTATGATTGATGGTACCATCGATAATACCAGTAGCATTACCTTGGATGCGTGATGCATTCCCTGGGCTGCCAATAACATTGCCTAGGATGCTAATCTCATTCTCTCGGATGCCAGTGCATCAGTTGGAATGCTACACCGATTGCCTGGAATACTGATACCAGTATCTGGGATGCTACAGCCATCACTCGAGCTGCTACAGAAACTACGTACGACGCTGGTAGGCATTTCTGACATGCTTATAGCATCGTAGGCAAGGCCTCTAGGATTTCAGATAATAATATTAGCATCCGAGACAGTGACTCTAGCATCTGAGGCAATGAATCGAGCATCCAAGATCATGCGTCTAGCATCCCGGATCATGCCTCTAGCATCCCGGATCATGCCTCTAGCATCTGAGGCACTGCCCGTAGCATCACAGGTGATGTCTCTGGCATCCTATGCAATGCCTGCAGCATCGTAAGTGATGGCTGTAGCAGAGCAGATAATGATATCAGCATGTCAGGCAATGCCTCCAGCATCCCAGATCATGCCCCTAGGATCCCTGATCAAGCCTCTAGCATTCTAGATCATGCCTCTGGCATCCTAGGCAATACCTATAGCGTCACAGGCAATCCCTGTTGAATCACAGGCAATCCCTGTTGAATCACA